GAGAAACCATTAGAGGCAAGTAATGTCGAGTGTCAATTCTACATCACTTTTTATTTTTTTTCTTTGTTTTACACGTGTAATAATTTTCTTATTTAGTAAGTGTTTTTTTTTTTCTTCTTTTACCCGCCATTAATTTTAAGCCTGGATCTTACACCCACATTCATAAATCCCTTCATTTCTTTCTATACTTTTCCCATGCCGTTTCATTATCCCTTTGTTTCTTTCTAGACTTTTCCCATGTCGTTTCATTTCCCCTTCCATTTGTTTTTCACCTAATCATCTTCTAAATCCCGATCACAATGCTTCATCTAAGCATTACTCAATTCCATCAGATCTATTCAGATCCATCAATTTTTTTTTTTTAATATTTTAGTTTTTGTCCATTTCTAATCAACATTGACAGGATTCCAATTTGATGCCGGCGATCTTCAGCAAAGATGTGTTCTTGCTTCCTGGGCCTTGCTTCAATACTTTCATTTCATCTCAAAACTCAATCAATTCATTTATTTCTTTTTTTACGTGTTAATTTTTTTAATAGTTAAATTTTAATCGTAAACTTGCCCATCAGTTCACTAAGCACTGAATCTTCGTTAGCAACGTTGGCCCCCTCACTCGTTCCCTGCACACTTGGCCGCCAATTGCAACTGTCAAATCATCATCACTTCCCTACTAGCATCTTCGCAATTTGTTTTCGATGGCCTGTCAATTTTAGAGATGGCCTTCCCTTTTTGTTTTTCACTGTTTCCATTTCAAATTCTATCGAAAGATTCTCTCAACGCCTGACTTAACTACACGTTACGTTGAAAAGATTTGTTGGTCACTGTAAGATACCTTCTATTATACCAATTTTATATAAAAAAATTTTGTTTTGTTGACCGATTTGCAGTTGAGCAATTCTCTTAAAGCTTTATTTCAGTGTTTCTTTAAGCATGTTTGAACTTTGCTCCATGTGGATTTCAATATTTAGGTATAAAATAGTCAACCTTTTAGTTGATGGTTCTGTTTAATGTTAAAATGGTACTTTTTCATCTATTTATGAAGGAATTGATTGAAACAGTATATTATTTCTCTGTCTATTAATTTCTTTCTGCCTTTTTGTTATTAAGTAGCACTAAGGATTCATGTTCTAAATTATGTATTTTGCTCCTTTTAGTCAAACAAGGCTTTGATGCTGAATGAATCCATTGAGTTCCTTAAATCACTTCAGTTGCAAGCCCAAGTATATTCTTCCTTGGATTTTATTTTATTACTAATTAATGTAACCTAGAAAGAAATTCTGGTTAACCTACCAAAAGAAATATGTTCTTAAAACGTTACAGAAATTGTACAAAAGACTTAGTGAGATTTTTTTCTACTAACTTGCATCAATAAATGTGATCAATATGTGTATGATACTCATAACATATATAGTATGTGTTGATAACAACCTTATGCTAT